TTCGTAGGGGTCGGTTATCCCTTCATATGTATCGATGTTCGGAAGCTTGAAGCCTGTTGGGATGTGGTGTTGGAGGACCGCATCCACTAAGGGAGAGGATTCATTTACGTTGCGGTGAGTGTAGAAACGATCCTTTTTTCTCTAGGGGGAACTCTTCCCGGACGAAGCGTCGTAGGTCATTACGAATGACATCATCTAAAATGGCAGGAAGATGTCGTGATGTCGGATGAGCTACACGAGATAGATGATTGGAACTTGCAGTATCTAGGAGTTCAGCATCACGACCTGACAGAGGATGTGTTCCTTCTTGAGGAGGCGGGCTGGTACGAGTTCCTCCGAGCGGTATGTTTCTCGTACGTCGCGGGGTTAATGGTGTGGGCAGCGGTTGTTGAGCCCCACGTAGGAGCCGTAGGATTTTTAGTTGAGACTTTTCCATTCTACGTATTTGATCTTCTATAGAATGACCTGAAACACCTTTGTTGGCAAGATAGTGTCTTCTAGGGAGGAAAGATGAAGAAGCATGCCACCCTTGGCTTCGTGACTGCTCCCTCGAGCGACTGGTGTTGGAGCGGGATGCTCCGTTGTCACGAACATTGTGTCTGGTTGTTATGTAGTAAACCACATAAGTACTTTAGTTGTGGGATTGAAACTTTCCCACAGACGGCGCCAAACTGAAGCGTGCTAGAAAATTCGCAGCGGAAGAGTAATGGATTATCGCCTTAGCGTTGCGCGAGGATTCAACACATACTCAAATAAAAATTAATCAAACTGTGATAACACCAGAAGTTCTTACGTAGAAAACCCGTAAAGGGGAAAAACTACGAGGTCTGGCCCAGTTGTAAAAATCCACTATAAGTTGATGATTACAGATGCCCCTTGTCCCACAGATAGTAAAGGGTTACTAGCTTTCCAAGTTACAACGTCGACTGACGACGTCTAGTCAGCGGTGGCGGTCGGCGGTGATCGGCGGTAGGCGACGACAATCGATGACTGTCGGCAGTGGTCGACAGAGGTCAGCAGTGGCTAATGACAGTCGATGACGGTCGGCAGTGGTCGACCGAGGGG